TTATATAACAACCACACAACAATCTAACCTAATACCACTCCTCATCGAGTGGTGTTTTAATCAAAATTTAATACCACAATAAGCTATAATTTACATTGAATTAAATTTCTTAACTAACCAACTATTTTTAAATAACTACTTGTAATTTTTCTGGTTCTAAAACAATAATTGATTATATCTATTAATTTCGAAAAATAAAAATAATTTAAATATTTCGATTTATCATGATACAAAGGAACGAAACCCCAAAAAAATAACACACAGCTTAACAGCTAACACATTAATCAAACCAACCACCGCTGAATTACAAAATCACAATTCTAACCTTAAAATAAATGAGATGCACCTACTGACTATTCAAACACCTAACTTGGAAAGATAGAATATTAACAACTTATATTATTAATGCTCCCCACTAACAACAAAGGATTTTTCCACTGTTTTACTGTGGAACACGGTATGAAACTTCATAGGCCAAGACATTACTTTAACAATAGACCCTGTATTACGAAAAATCCCCACAACCAAATCTCGTTCCACCAACGAATTTCACAAAATATACACAAAAAAACAAGCACTAAAGGAAGATAAAAACCTACATAAGGTGCACACACAATTCATCCAATAAAAGGATGAATCATAAACACAAACTTGACGTGGTAAACCACACATCCCAAAATAATGCATCGGAAAAAAACACAAGTTAAACACAACAGCTGAAACAATACAGTAAGCCTGAGCATAAATCTTACAAATCTTATAACCAGTTAAAACAGGTCACCACCACAAAATACCAATAACAACAGTACTATAAGAACCAAGTGACAACACGTAGTGAAAGTGGGCAACAACAAACCACGAATCGTGTAAACTAATATCCAAACTTAAAGCAGACAACACTATTCCAGTTATCCCGTCTAATGTAAATAATATAATGAATGAAATAATCCACCAAACCAACGGATCACCCAAACCAACTGATCCGGTAGTTAACATGGACACCCATGAAATTACCTTCACACCAGTTGGTATGCCTATTAATGCTGTCACAGCACTAAAAAAAGATATTCTCTTTACATCCATGTGGTGAGCTCAAACAATAAATCCCAACACAAAAATTGAAAACATTGCTAGTACCATACCAAAATACCCTACTGGTGATTCTCATTTTCTCAGTTCCGTATATATGTGACCAATCATGGAAAAAACCAGGTAATATCAAAACATAAACCTCTGGGTGTTCAAAAAACCAAAACATGTGTTAAAACATTATAGAATCACCACCACCTAGCGGATCTAAGTACGATGTTTCAAAGTTACGATCAAACAATAGCATTGTTATAGCCCCAGCTAAAACAGGAATTAATAAAAACAACAAAAAACAAGTGAAATAATAAACCCACACAAACATTGGTGTACGAAGCACCCAATCCACATACAACTTAGAATCCAAACCAGAAAAAATTGAATAAAAATAACAATTACAGGTTATAATAAATTTCAGTGCACCTAACATCCTAGACAAACCCGCCAAGTGCAAAGAGATTAGCATATAATCAACCCCCCTATCAGAAAAATACTTTCTAGAGATGGGAGGATAAGATGTTCAACCCACACCAGAACCCAAATACATACTAATCAACAGTCTTATCATTGATGATATTAAAATCCAAAGACTAAATGATTTAATTCGAGGGAGCTTCATACCACCCTGACGTGTGAATATTGGTAACAATATATTACAAAATCCTCCAATTAAGACAGGCATCAATATAAAAAAATTATGACAATCCCATGCCTAGTTATTGTAAATTTATATAGCTCAGTCGAAATAACTTTATGGTACGGACTCATTAAATTTAAACCTAAATATAAGAACAACTTAAAAAACAAATAATAGATCAATGATCCCCAAGAAATATCAGACAAACCCACTTTTAATAATAATACTATCTCAACATCCAAAACAAAAAAAACTAATACTAGCAAAAACCTCAACCTAACTTTTCTCACCCTCGCCCCGAATGATTTAAACCCACACTCATTAGGATTCATAAACTGAAAAAAATATTTTGTTTTATTTTGGTTGTTGAGACACCAACAAACGAAAAT